ACTAGAACTCCAAAGTAATATCTCCACAGAGAGTCGCCCATGGTCCGTTACGACCGTTACGGTCAAATTCCGTTCCGCGGGAATTTCTAATTAGAAAAAAGAAAGCGTCTTGTTGGTGTGCTGCTTGTGACAAAAACAAACTCAATATCCCCGTTCCAGGAGAACAAGTAAAAACATAAAAATAAAAATAAATGCTTAATAGGAGCCCGGTTAGAAGTGAACCATCCCGAAGGGAAAAGCTACTCCTCTATTAGTCTTGCTCAAGATGAGAGAGAGCAGCACCGCGGACAGCAGGCAGTTTCTCATTCGGCAAAATAAACGATTGAGTGGAGCACTCTCCTATCAACCGGCCGTGGGGAGCACGTACATTCCTCACAGGAAGGCGACCCGTGTCGTCGCCGCCGAAGTGCTGGATGTCCGCGGAGACATGGAAGTTAATCCCCCCGGTGTGGATCATAAACCAAGCAGGTACCAATTCCAAATGCGAGGTATTCCGTTCAGACGGGCAAACGAGGGGAAAAAACCACCGGAGTTCCCAAAAAAACGAATGAGGCAGTTTGGAAAAGATGAGCAAGAATGAATTAATTGCAGCCTATTGGATGAAGCAAAAAATAAGAATGACTAATAAAAATTAGAAAATAAAAATAAAATGAAACGATGAAGTCAAATGAAAGTTCTCATGGGTCGCTGTGGAACCCTCACAGTAGCAGAGAACAGCTGCGGCTCGATCCCTGCAGGTCCGGACTGAACTGCCGTGCGCGTGAATTGCGGGACTCTGCTCCGTTCTCTGCGCGAGGCTGTACTGCAAGTAGCTGCGAGCGTCTACAGCACGGAATATTTGTCAGAGCGAGTTTTTCGCGGACTCCTCCCACCTGCTCTCTCATTGGACAGGTAGCCATGGAGAGAAACCTGTCAATCAAGCGGTCGCCTGGCGACTGGTCGAGCAATGGGAGAAGAATATATCGGACTTCAGGTCGCCAACCCAGATTTGAGTTTTTAGGGATTAATAACATTTCTGCATTTTAAAGACAACTCGGGGGAGAATGTGTATAATCGCAGCCGTTACAAAAACTACACCGAAAAACAGCAAACTGTACTAATAAGTACATAATATACTACCTACATGCATCCTAAGAATGTTTAATCACTACTCTTTCTCTTTATTATATTTTATAATATCATTGTTCATTTAAATAATTAATTAAATTGTTATTATCCTGTTCCACGACACGCACAAAGGTCGATTTCAAGTCCCACATGGCCAACAATCTTAAAATAAAGGCGTTTATTTAGGTTGAGGTCGACAGAAAGCCGCCTGCTGAATGCGTGAGGGATTCATTCAGCAGTCAACAGCGCCCACTAGCGGCCAACTCAACCGAGCCAACTGAATGCGTAAGTACATCTGACTATTCTTCTTACATTAATGTATGAATTAAATAACAGGTTCATTACAACAATTTAGCACTATTTTTGTATTTTACACTGACAAAATATTCAATCATGTATTGTATTTAATTTAATTCAGAGTATCCATATGGTGATATAGACTACATTACTCTTATAGCATTATAAGAGTACATTACTCTTAGTAAAGTTGATGCAGTTCAGTTTTACTTGTCAAATGCATTAGTCAAATGCAGTAGGCTACTGTTATCACAAACGCATCAATTTAAATAATATAATTTAAGTAAGAATAATACACTTCAGTAGGCTATAGGCTAAACATAGTCAAAACAAGTAGCCTAACTACAAAAAAAGTACAAATATGTAACATATGTTTTATTATATTATATTATATTATATTAGGCTATATTATAATATTATATTATGTAGGCTACAGACTGTTTAAGTTTAACTATTAAGTTCTGGAGAAATAAACAACTTAATTAAATGTATTTTCGCCATGTCTGACCTTAAGGAAGCAGTACGTCTAAAACTAAATTAGGACGCAAGTGAAGAAAAGCCGGTGTGAAAAGCATTCACACTTTCCGAAGGCTGTAATTGAATCAGCGTACATTTACTGTTATCGCTGTGTATTGCTCTGCTGGTTTAAGAGATAATCAAACGCGCAGATTCCACATCGAAGCGATAATTAACACACTACACATGCTGACTACACAGACTGAATGATTGCTGTGCATTAATGAAGCGGTTTATTAACGTGTTACATCAAAGAAACGCCAATTGCCTGATTACGAAGTCTATTTGTATATGCATCTAATCGAGTACACATTTGTTTTTGTGCTACATAAAGACATATTTTGTCAAAGCACTAAATTGCAAGTGCAAAATTAAAGAGGCAATCTTATAACTGTTTTCAAGCACCACTTACAAAGAGCTCCAAAGGTAATAAATTATTCACTTTATGCAATGGTAGTGTGTTTCTGACAATGCCCCCACACTACCAAACAAAAGTAAACAATAGGACGAGCTAACACAATTCAAGAAGAAATCATCCCAACGGGAAAACAAGGAAACAGCAATTTCCTGAACTAACTTAAAAATAACCAACGCAGATGAGACGTGAAGATTTAAAAGTGTCCTGGTAAAGAAGTATACGTGCAACTTTTAGCATATATTCTTTCTTGAATGCTCCATTAGAATGTTAGAACAAATATAGCCTAGGCATTCATTTTAACAACATTTATAAATTAACAATAATCTTAAACCACGTGCACTGGAATAGCCTAATCATTATAAATACATTTTAAAAATGAAAGGGAAACAAACTATTTTATCAAGAACTAATTTTTTTTTTTTTTAGTTCTGACATATAAACATTTAAAAGTAGGCTAGCCTATTTACACTATCAGTTTAAACATCTCAACCTAAATGTTCCCAAAGTCTCATGACGGAGCGTAAATGAAAAACAAACACCGCTTAACACATTCAAGATAAACTCTGAGCAACTTCTCAGCTCTTTGAAATCACGGGGTCAGATCGATGTTTATTCAGTTGCACGCGAATAATCTCACGGTCCGTGGGTCCCTCGGAGCGTGATCAATCGCAGTAGGTTACACTTACGAGAAAACACACCTGCTGGCTTTCTTACACTCACAAACAACAGCAAAGTATGGGCATTTCCGGCCAAACTTTACGCATCGCTTCTGAACTGATCATAACAGCCGCTGTAACTTCTGCCTGGCGCTGAACACTGTATTCATGTCAATAAAAGAATTGTGGATTTGAGCGCGCAGGGGTCGCAGAGTTTCGGCGTTACACCAGTCGTTCATCAGTGCGGCATTGTTAAAGCTGACAGTGACTAATACACACACAAGACTGCATCATGCGGGCTCGTCGAAAAAATCGCACGTCTGTGACAGAAGGGTTTGCCAACATTTCCATTAGCTTCTCACACAGGCCAACTGAGAACCTGAGGCAGCGACCAGAAGTAACCTCGAACTGAGGAATCAGAAATAAAACTGAAAGGCAAATTAGGTTATAAATCTTTAACTCAGAAGAAGGGTTAAATTCAATTCAGTTACTGGGTCATTTACCGAAATAGGTTGGAAAATGTGATCTTAAAAGTCAATTCTTTAAGATTTTAAATATTCTACTAGATCAAAAAGTGTTATTAAAGAATATTGTGGCATTAAACTAAATGCAAACTTTATTAAATTATTTGTTGGGATAAAACTAACTTCAAAAAAGATCATAAGACTACAAGGTGTTTATTAGAAAAATAACGGGATATTTCTATAAACATTTTTAATAATTTGCTTTCTGTACAAAATCATGGTAACAGTTAAATGCTGTCCATTATTAACCATAAAGTATGATCAAATTATATATATAAAAAAAATACTTGTGCTTGAAGAGTTGAATGAATGGCGTTTTTGTAATAGAAGTTTTTCATCTTAATTAAAAGGAATTAATGGTAATGTTTTATGCATCTGTTCATGAGAAACACAAGAGACACCCTTTTTCATGGAAGGACCTCACTAGACCTTTTAATGAGGGCAGTTTCTTGGGATTATGTTTTTTTTTTGCTCTACAAATCCTCTAACACTCATTCTGCACTTCAGATGTTTTGTAAGACAGTTATAATATTAATTCATTTACCTTTAATTAGAATCTGGCAAAATCTGACCTTAAAGTGACTATAAAACTGCAAAGGCGGTAGTTTTTTTTTTTAAGTTGAGATTTTACTGTAATTATCTTACAAAATAACAAATGACTGGTGTGTTGCAGAATATATGCAGAATTAAAATAATCTGTCAAATTAAGCAAGAGAGCGGTTACAAATTCCCAGAAGAGGACACTTGAGGCTCTAAACAAACGCCTTTGTGGTTTGCAGAGTGCCCAAGAAACATGATTCAGGCAATGTTGTGTTCATGGGATTTATTGGTCATCACACTAAATGTCCCAGTTCACAAGCAAAGGGGTAATTTACCACAAGACAAGAACACCCTCTAGCATACACTCATACACCCACACAAACTCGCTCGCATACACACCCTAACTAGTCTTACCTGCGATTCCCGATTTCCTTAAGGTACCAACAGAGCACTAGAAACTTTACAAGACTTTGTAACATTGTAACCTTTTTTCACCAAAATGCTTGTATTATGAATGCTAAATAAGTTCTGGCCACACATATGTTCTACGTTTCAAAAATGAACGATTTAAGTAAGGTGAATCAAAAAGGACAAATGTGATCTAGGTTACAATGCTATAAATTGTATCAGGTTCATATCAGGTGATTATGAGAACAATGTTTTAAGCAGCATTTTAGAAACTCTATGTTTTGAGGTGTTCAGTCCACAATCTAAAAAATACAAAATGCTTCCACACACTCCCTGCAACATACATTCACTAATAAGCACAAAACAAAGTCTGCCAATTTACATTTTTCAAAACATTTTGGTGTACTTCCCCTATGCTTTGAACGCAAGAACAGTAGTTAAACTGAGCTTGTACCAACAGAGCTCCCAAACCACTGATATATATTGACCAACCAACCACGCACACTCATATACACAAATATTTACAGGAGCATCCAGCGTAACGGTGTGAAATATCAATACAACACACTGAAAAAAGCAAAAGATGACAGCTGATCTGTAAGTCTGTGGTGGTGACTGCAAGTCCGGTTTTGAAGCGTGAGGATTCAAATGTTTTTTTGTGGGCAGAGCGCACAGGGCAGAGCTCTCTTTGAGACTCCAATTCACTTCAACATGAAGCACACATCCAACATGAAGCACACATCCAAAGAGAAGAGAAGAGAAGAGAAGAGAAGAGAAGAGAAGAGGTCACTCTGTTGCTTTGAGAGTGAAGGAGAGACGAGGTCGGGACTTGCCCTTCCCCAATATCATCCTCTGTTCCTCTTTCTGTTGTTTCTGCCTCTCCTGCTCTAGCTTCATGCGTTCCTCGTGGATCTTCCTTTGTTCTTCCACAATACGTAGCTGATCCTCAGCCTAAAACAAACACATGAGCAAAAGTGACTCTTTCAATCAGCCAAGACAAACAGGTACACTTTAAATCTTTTGATGCACTAATACATTAACAAATGTACCTTAATTATCAAAACGATATGTACTAAGGAAAAAAACCTATGTTCACTGTATTCAGTACTATCATATACATAAAATGGGGGCACTGCCAAGCATCCATTTTGAAAGTTCAGACTAAACATTTCAGAGAGGGTAGGTTCTACCACAACAACACAAGCAGGAGAAAAAACAAACAAACAAACAAACAAAAACACTTGAGCATTCACAATGACTTAACGCAGTAAAAACCATCTAAACACTTCAAGTCAAAACCGTGAGGGGAAAAATATTTTCTGGCCATTTTGAGGGCGATACAAAAGGCCACAATTCTAATGACCTTGAGATGTATAAACATGCACCAAATGTCTTGTCAAAAATAACATTAGAGCTTTTAATTATCAGTGGACTTAGGATTCAATATGAATTCACTGGCTTGATCTCTGCATGGAACAGTGTATATTAGGGTTCCCTCCCCTTTTTGATCAATGAATTTCCATGACTATTCCAGATTAGCACTTATCATTGGATAAGAACTCTAAGAACAATTTCTTAGAGATCGCATTCACAAATAACGATTTCTAGTCAAATAAATATTTAAGAGAATATTATTCACTATATAAATGTTCAAGTTTTTCATGTTAATACTACTAATGAGTGATATCATGTTAATACTACATATACTACATACAATATACAATACTACACATACAATAACAGTAAATAATTCAACAGTAACTATACGGTTGACACTCCAATATAGTACATGACAATACAGTACTTTAACTTTGCCACCATTCATAAAATAGATTTTTTTGGTTACGCTATATTTTAAGGTGTCCTTGTTACAGTGTAATTACACATTTAAGTAGTGAGTAATATTAATTAACTACATGTACTTACTATATGGTTAGGGTTTGTCTTAGGGTTACTTGCATGTAATTATGCATAATTATGCATAATTTATTGTTATTATAATAGTAAATGTAACGTGTAACAAGGACACATTAAAGTGTTACTTTTTTTTTTTTTCAAAATTTCTATAGATAATATCATTGTTGTAAATTATTTTGGCCACAGTAATAGTGAAGTTCAAATCTGTTGTGACCCTAATTTCTGGTTTTCTATGGTAACCTTGTCATGCATAACAAAAAGACACTTTTCGTGTAGACAAATCTAATACCCCCCATACTCTAGAGCAGGGGTGGCGAACTCCGGGCCTGGAGAGCCGCAGCCCTGCAGAGTTCAGCTCCAACCCTAATAAAACTCACCTGCCTGTAGCTTCCTAGTAACCCTTCAGACCTTGATTAGCTTGTTCAGGTGTGTTTGATTAGGGTTGAAGCAAAACTCTGCAGGGCTGCGGCTCTCCAGGACCGACGTTCGCCACCCCTGCTCTAGAGCATACTCTATTACATTTCATTTTTGTTTTTTGAACATATTTTTCTTATTCGTTTTCATATTTTGTTGTGTTTGGCTTTTGTTTCTTGTTTTCTGCTTTGCTGTCAAAATAAAACATAGGAATAAGTACCAGCTTTGCCTGAGCATCAGCAATCTTTCGGTTGTTTTCTTCCAAAATTCTCTCCAGCTCCTCTCGCTTGAATTTTTCTTCCACCTAAAGGAGTGATGTGGTGACATGTTAGGGCGGGGAGACAAATTCACTGAAATAAGTCCCCATAAACCCAGTTGCACACTCAAACACGTCTATACTCGCACAAACAGGAACCAGCCAGCGACACTCGCACAGTCTCTCTCACCCGCTTTCACACACACTCCACATTTCACATTCCGATCTGCAGCATCAAATGTCTGAAGCTAACCTCTATGTATGCAACAATGAGCACAAAAACCCACCCACGGATGTATTCAGTCACACCTTTAATCCCCGCCACGTTATATGTAAATATAATCATCCAAACATCCATTTACGCATTCATTTACATCCATTCAGAACAGGTATGTATAGACAACACATCGACAACTAACGAAGAATCTCATTCGTTTGCAGATGGAAAAAGGAAAAAAATAATAATAATCATTTAGCTCGTTCTCTCTCTCTCTCTCTCTTTATACTTGATCAGCATCCATAAGCAAAAAGTTTCAAAAGAAAATGAGAGAGACAAAGAAAGATTAACTTAAACAAAGGAGAGAGTGAATAGTAGTGGCTCACCAATGCTCGTATACCTACGCCTTTCTCCTTTGACTGTGTACTGTACCTACACAACTGCTGATTAAAGGGGTGAGTATTTACTGCCTGGTCCCGTGTGTCCCGTCCTGGACAGCGCAGCACCTCCCCTTTAAAAATTTTTGAGCTGCTAGCACGAGCTAGTGCTCTTACACAGCAACACCACATGCAGTATATATAGCACAGTCCAGGAAAATGAATTATGTTAATCATACAACATTACCGTGTGGGGACGTCAGGCTATTAACGTTAAACGATGTTAAAGACTGCAAAAACACAAAGGTGGGATCATTCATTAGAAGTGTTTGTTTGAAAACAAAAACAGTGATGTGTTGGCGTCTAAGCTCAATGGTACAGTAGCGTTGAGTGTGGATGTAGTAGTGTGTGTCTGTGTGTTTTTGCGTGTATGTGTGTGTGTGTGTGTGTACCCGTACGGCAGCACTCCTGAGGAAAAGCAAATCGTGAGGACACAGAAGTACATTTAAACACTGCACTTTTAACGACGTCAAAATGGAAGGGTCAAAGAAAAAAAAAAAGTTAGAAATCTAAGAAAAAAATTAATCAGCAATTAATAAATATAAAACATATATGACAGAAATGGATGAGCAATAAAGGGAAGGGTAGAGCGTTTTGTGATTGATGGTGCAAATGAAGACAAAATCATCCTACATAAATCTACAACAATACGGATTCATTTAATGGTTCAGTACCAGGGCTACAGATGATGGGCACAAATCTAAAATGTACAGGAGGAGGGCACATATCTAACCCTATTAGTGCTGAGCCGCTGAATTTTGTGTGCGCTTGTGGAATGGAATTAGTTTCTCGTTCATAACTCATTGCGTCTTTACAATTACAGCACAGTAACCCTCCTTTTGGTATGGGTGGAATTACAAGCTATGGATTTAGCAAATTAACAAGTTTAAGTGCGGTCTAGTGGCTACAAAAGGTCTTATGTGTTTGTAACATCCAAAACAGAATTACGTCTTCTTGACCTATCAAAGTGTATAATGGTGGATGTTCACACTGAAAGCTCATACACAAAAACAGGCCTGGTTTGAATGCTGAGTGACCTTTTTTAAGAAAAGCGTTTTATTGAAGACAAACAGTTTCATACATTGGTGACAGTAAAACGCTAAAAGATATGAGTAGTAAAGAGAGCAGGGTAGGGGTGGAAAATAAAAGGGGAGAGAAAAGATGAGAAACATAATATTGGTCCATCACAGCCATGGCAAAACGTTGACTTGAAACCCCCAAGAGTGCACTAGAAGTGTGTGACTCAATAAAATTGAAGAATTACAGAAAAAGTGCAGAGCTTGTCAGTCAACAGAGTAAACGCGGACTCAATCACCCAATGTCCTTAAATATTAGCGTTCCCCAGACAGCAGCTCAAAAGAACTGCTCCAAGCATCACATCACACCTTGAAAAAGTCGCATTTTGTAATTAATTTTATTCCCCACCCGACCAATCGAGCTAGCCTGCGTCTCTTGATGTATCTCGTGGAGAAACGAGTGCCAGGTTGTGCCACGGCTGCGGGTGTGCGGCTCAGCTCCGCTGCGTTCCGAACGACCGAGTGTTACCTCTCTGGCTTTCTGGGCGTTCAGTTCAGCCTGCCTCTGCCTCTCTAGCTCCTGCAAAAGCTGTGCCTCCATGATGCGCTTGGCCTCCTCTACCCGCCGTAACACCTCATGCTCGATCTCATCACGCCGCTTCTCAAGCTCCTCCTCTACACGCCGTGCTACAAGCTCCTCCACGCGCCTCGCCGTCTCCTCCTCAATCAGACGCTCCTCGATCTCCTGTTGACGGCTGTAGAGGATACGAGAAAGAAAGGATCAAACATTGCAGTTTTATTGGCAGACCCTTAAATTATGGAATGCCAAAGCTGACTTAATTAGAAATAAATAAATAAATGCACAAAGAAATGTAAAAAAGCAAATATAAATATATAAATAAATATACAAAGTAAAAAAGCAAAAATAAATAATTATTTATAATTTTATTTCCTTATTTATGTATTTTTTTTCCACATTTATTTATTTTTTCTTTTATTTATTTATACATTTATTTATTTCCACTTTTATTTACTTTCACATTTATGTATTTATTTATTTATTTCCACATTTCTTTATTTCTACATTTCTTTGTCCGTAGGGTAATGAGGAGGGCGTGTTTTACCTCAGGAATAGCAATCGAGCCAGAGTAGGCGAGAAGTAAGCTTTGAGGCCACAGTGACACCTTTGTGGTGCCCAAACGAAGTACAAGAAGTGTAGCCTACATGACGTGCCTGTTGATAGTGTGGGATGACTGATTTAGATGGGCAATATGGCCAACATCTTATATCACAGGACAAGGTATTACTTCAATTTCACG